TAATAGGTGACTATATATTTTATCTAGAACTATTTGGATTAACTTATAAATAGGATCTTTCATTGAACTTTTGACACCTATGTCTCAGTGTTCCTATTTCAGGTTTATTACCTTCCCATATGAAATCTGTCTCCTTTATAATGTTGCTTAGCTCCTCTAGCATATGTTCTGCTCATAGAGAATAGAATATATAGAGAGGAATTAAAAGAATCTCTCGGTATGAATTTTTTCAGTCCCTTTCAGCCTGAAAGGGAGTTCAAAGTGTCTATACTATCCATTTCAATTTCGAATTTTTTAAACTGTTAAATAAACTTTATAATGAATTAGGTGAATAAAAACATCATTTGATTTATAGTCATAACGGAAAATCATCGTTTGTAAAGTGGAAGGCATAGAGTCTATGTGAAATGATCATTGGTCAATTATGAAACCAGCCTATTTCATAATTTGGTTTTCTTTTAACAATAATTTTAGATTTTCTATAAAATGATATTCCAGGGCCCAACAGGTTATAAAGCATAAATATGTGAAGTACACCTGCAGTATGGAAACAGTACAACAAAATGGCCGTTTTACACTTTTTTCCATTAAATTCCTCTCTATATATTCTATTCTCTATGGTTCTGCTGCACTTTTCAGAAAATCTAAAATATTTTAATATAAGTTGTTTCCGCAATGTCTGCTTTTCCAAAATATTGTTTAGTGTTTATTTTATTATACTGATTTATTTGGTCAACTTTGTCCATGCATACATAGCTTACATTTTTATTTGCTGCAACTATAATTTGTTCTGAGTTTGTGTTAAACTCCTGTTCAATTTCCTGCTCTTTTTTTAATCCTGATGACTTTTTTGTTGATTCTTCATGATTGATTTTAATTGTTTTTTCTCTTTTATATATTGAAATTCAATTGATTTTAGTAAATATAATAGTTCTGTGTTGGTGATAATTTTCGGCATTCTCTTAAGTTTTCTTAGTTTAACATATAAATTATGTGTTCTCAAGTTTTTCGATTCTTTCCCTATTATCTGGTCTAAAATCTTAATGATCTCTTTGTCAAATTCTTTAAGTTCTCTTGTGATCTGTATTTTACAGATGGTGTGAATATTTTTTCCTTTTTTTAAATTTTCTCTTCTTAAATTGTCTATTATTTGGATAATCTCGGTTTTGTTCCCTCCAATATATTCCAAATACTTTGCTGGAATCTTTTTTGAATGGGTTTCAAGATCCTAGATCTAGATTTTTGCATAATTCTGTTTGTATAATATTCATCCACCATTGACTAATAATCTGTTCAGTTTGAGTTTTAATATCAAAGCTTAGTAACCGATGTCATATTTCTTGTTTAAATTTACCCCAATCCTTTTTAAAGTCTTTTCCTGAAGATATCATTTTTACCGTTGGCCCCGTCTCATGGGTTATTAACTGCAGTCCTACTATAATCCTCCATATTGTACACAGTATCGGATTCATTAAAATAATCAATTGATAAACAATTAAATAATTAAAACAAATATAAACAAACTCAGTCTGTTTCAGTGGCGCAACTAGCAATTTTGCTAAGGGGTGGCAAAATATTATTTTGTAATGGTCTGGAGGGTGTAGGGGGGCTTGCCCCCCTTTAGAAAAGTTTTTCAAAATTGAAGTGCTGTTTTAAGTGTTTGATGTCGAAAAAAATGAAATTTTCAGTTGTTGCATGCAGATTTGACTGTGTTCAATTCAAATCGGTTTTTTTCTTGTGTTTTTTAAAAATCAATTCTTGTCATGTGTGCTTGGAGCGCCAATGAAAATTTGTTAAATACCTTGTTTAATTACAGGTATAATTAAAAAAATAATCATTTATATATTCTGAAAAAAAACATCAAAATACATATATTTTTATAAATTTTAATCATCTTTATTGAAGAAGGACAGATAGTGTTACGTTTTCTCCAGAAGTTATTGAATTTATAGTTGATCATTCTAACCAATATTTATAATCTTATTTCATTTTCGATTTTATAGAAGTTCTTTCAAAGAAGATAAACAGGTTACAGTTATCAAATATGATAATCAGTTAGAAGTTTGCCAGGTTTAGTCTCAGAATGTTCTCTAGATTTGGAATTGAGTTTTTGCCACAAACTCAAATATTCTAATCCCTAAATCTTAATGCACCGAGTGAGTGGTGTAAACCTTTGATATTTCAAACTTAAAATATTTTACCAAAATAATTGAAAGTTTGAATACAGTTCGGAACTTTTTTACATTAAATGTTAACAATGAGAATTCAGAAAGATATAAGTATTTTTTTTAACTCTTTTGGTTATATTCCTGACTCCTGTGATAATGATGTTCGCCGATCTTTCTTTTCATTGTGCTAGGGGACGGCACACTCTCTCAGACGCTAGTGAAGGGCACGCGCCCGGCCCCCCCCCCTTAGTTGGGCCTCTGGTCTGTTTAGTGTAAAGTTTGATTATCTTTCATACAGAAACTTTAATATCACAAGAACAGAAAAAAGTCGTTATTTTAAAGAACTTTCCGTAAAGTGGCGTAAATAAGGGGGGTTATTGGGGTTATTTACCCCCCCATAGAATCCTGGGGGTAAATACCCCTCCCTAGAATTCTAGGGGTAATTACCCCTGAACATATATTCAGGCCCTGAATAGCAGGGGNTTTTCTAGGGGGGGGTAAAAAAATTCTAGGGGGGTAAAAATTTACCCCCCCCCCTACAGAATCCTTATTTACGCCCCTGTTTCCGTATTTCGGTATTAAGAACAAAACTTAATTTTTTATCTATAAATCTGGTTATATCTGTGTTTTTATGTATAAATCTTGTTAAATCTGGTTTCAAGTCTATGAATCTGGTTATATATGGTTTTCTTATGTATACATCTTGTTAAATCTGGTTTCATATCTTTAAATCTGGTTATATCCATGGTTTCAAGTCTATATACATCTGGTTATATTTTTTTTTTAATGTATAAATCTGGTTGTTTCTGGTTTCACATCTAGATCTGGTTATATATGCTTGTATCTATAAATCTGGCTATATCTATTTTTTATTTATAAATCTTGTAATATCTGGCTTCATTTCTATAAATCTAGTTAATTCTGTTTTTTTATGTATACATCTTGTTAAATCTGGTTTCACATCTAGATCTGGTTTTATATATGCTTGTATCTATAAATCTGGTTTCATATCTATAAATCTGGTTAAATCTGTTTTCTTATGTATAAATAAGTCTTGGTATATCTGGTTTCATATCTATACATCTGGTTATGTATGCTTTTATCTATAAGTCTGCTAGTATATGCTTGTATCTATATATCTAGTATATATATATAAGCTTGTATCGTAGTTAAGGCAAGAAAGGAGCAAATCTTGGTTTTTACAAATTGTTCACAAAGACAGTATTTACTTGTAGTCCTAGTAGAACCATGATTAGTCTTGTTTATCGTTGTTTTAAACTTTTAATAAAACTTTAAAGATTTCTGTATTAAGTTAAAGTTTGCTTTATCAAACTTGGCAATTTTTATAACATATAATCATATAATTACGTTGGCTGAATAGTATAAATACATATTATGAAGAATTGAATAAAATCTAAGAAAAACAAAAAGCCCAAATATTAGTCTTAAAGACATTTGAATAGAAAAGTTAACGATTAAAGTCATGAACAATTTTATTAACTGCAGTGGACAACTTAAAAAATTACGTATATATATATTTATGAAAATACCCGTTGACAACTAAAAAATTCAAGAAAATTCCTTTAAATAAAACAGATGACATTTGACTTTGAGAAAGTTGCATGTATATTGTATAGTCCCTTTTACAAGTGGTTATATTTTAATTACGCTTGATTAATGTTAAACTATTTTGTTATTCCACACTTGTCTTTGCACTTTATAGTATACACAGGTGCTAATATAGTGCCTGGACATTGGAAGTATTCAAACTAATGAAGGGACTAAACAGCGGAGTTTAATCCGGTGATTTCTTTTCGAATGGATTAGGGGGTTTAATCCGGTGATTGATTTTTGAATGGATTAGTGGAGTACAATCCGGTGATTGCATTTAGAATGGATTAAGGGAGTTTAATCCGGTGATTGCTTTTTGGATGGATTAGGGGAGTTTAATCCGGTGATTGCTTTTCGAATGGATTAGGGGAACTTAATCGAGTGGTTGATTTCAAAGTGGATTAAGAGAGTTAAATCCATTAATTATTTCTGAATAGATTAGGGAAGTTTTATTCATTAACTGTTTCTAAATGGGTGTTTAATTCATTAATTGCTTCTGAATGGATTAGGGGTGTTTAATCCAATGACTGCAGATTTAACTCCTTCAAGTCATCTCTGAAGTTTCATACTTAGTGGTTAAGCTGTCTCGATTTTTGGGACATAAAAGAAAATAAATATAAAAATTTGAATGCAGAATATTCTGCGTTTTTAGGGAATTCTGAGCTCAAAAATTTTGTGTTAAATCGGATCTCTGGATACGTGCTTGATTCCTAAACCGCAACGGAATATCCTAAAGTATCTGACCGTATCCGTAGGACTGCACAAAATTTGGAAAACTCCCTTATCCAGGGAATAACAACACAAAAATTTTGACCTTTATTCAAGTTCGAAGATAATCTTGTATTACTAGGTTGTCTATCTTCTATTTCAACTTTTAATTGTTTCTCTATCTGTGGGCATTTTGTCCTCGTTATATATAAAACAATAACAAAAAATCGAGGATTAATATTTTTTTGTGGATTTTCTAAATTTTGCGAAAATCAAAATATTATGGAGAAAAATATTTGTTAATAAACGTTCCCAAATTTCATGGGGTCATGTGAGTTGCCTCAAAATTTTTGGTCCCGATTGGTTTAGCCGATTTGACGTTTAATGAATACAAACAAACAGACAGACCAGCAAAGTGTATAATATATAGAAATAAAGGACGCTTTTTGATTTTATGGAGACAAAAAAATTGAAAAATTATATATTTTTTTATTTGATAATTGATCCAGATAGTTACATAAAATGAGAGTAGAGAAGAGGATCTATAAAGGGTTTCTTTTCATCCTTCTTTTAATCATCCTCAATGCTCTTTTACTCAGGCACTGTTAATAACCAAACCAAACAGTAATTTCTGCGGCAATGCGCGCCATTTCTGCCATTTTGAATGGGTATGCATGAATATTAATCAAACTTCGAAGATGCATTTGACAAAAGAGAATTTATCTTTTTTTTTTAATTTTAGTATCCACATTAAAGGATGACTTTATACAACTAGAATACCTAGAATAAACAAGATTCTTGATTTATTTTTAGATTTAATACTTAAAGGTACTTATGACGAAATTGTGTGTGACAGTTCATTTAAAATCTGCATGTCCAATATTCACTTTTAAAAAGATTTGAAATAATTAATATTCAATATTCATGTTAAAAAGTAAGGAAATTTCATTCACACTTGATAAGAAAGCTGTTTAAAGGGTTCCGCGGACATGCACCAGTCTATAAATGGAGGGTCACTTTTATTTACGTCTAATGTCTCTTCAATTGGAAAATCTTTTCAAGAATTGGTTGTACAGTGTGTTAGAGGAACGGTTGTACAGAACTCTTCTTGATACGGTCTCTTACGGTCATCATGCAGTACGTGAAGTGCAACTAGAAAAACAACAATATACAGAAAATGAACTAGTTATAAGCTTTGAAGAAGACGGAAGGTGATAATTAAATTTTCAAACTTTGAAATTACATTTAGAGTCCCTGACCCGTTCTACAAGATAACATTGGGATTAAAATTAAACCACTGTGACTAGACTAAAGGGGATCGAAAGAGCAGACTAAAAACAAAAACCAAAAGTTATGAAACCAAAAGTTTTGACTCAGGAAACATAAAAATAAAATTTATCAATCAATGTTGGCTTTTTCCTGAGGCTCCCCAGTACGTTACATTTGATAAAGCTACCTAAAATAATAATTACACTCCATATAATCACATTTACTTAATTAACATTAATGAAAATGTAACTTTCAGGAGATGTTATTGAAGTTGAAAAAGTGTTATTATAGGAAGTGCAATTATATAAAGTGTGACTATATATGAAGTGCAATTATAGAAAGTGTGGCTTTAGTAAGTGCAATTATATAAAGTGTGACTATACAGGAAGTGCAATTATAGAAAGTGTGACTTTAGTAAGTGCAATTACATAAAGTGTGACAATGTAGGAAGTGCAATTATAGAAAGTGTGACTATAGGAAGTGCAATTACAGAAAGTGTGACTATAGGAAGTGCAATTATAGAAAGTGTGACTATAGTAAGTGCAATTATATAAAGTGTGACTGTATAGGAAGTGCAATTATAGAAAGTGTGAGTATAGGAAGTGCAATTATAGAAAGTGTGACTATAGGAAGTGCAATTACAGAAAGTGTGAGTATAGGAAGTGCAATTATAGAAAGTGTGACTAAAGTAAGTGCAATTATATAAAGTGTGACTATAGGAAGTGCAATAATATAAAGTTTGACTATTGAAGTGCAATTATAGAAAGTTCGACTATAGGAAGTGCAATTATAGAAAGAGTGACTATAGTAAGTGCAATTTTATAACGTGTGACTATAGGAAGTGCAATTATAGAAAGTGTGACTATAGGAAGAATTATAGAAAGTGTGACTACTGGAAGTGCAATCATAGATAGTGAGAGTTGCGACTATAGAAAGTGCAATTTAAGAAAGGGTGACAATATCATGTGAAGTGTAATTGTAGATGAAATAACTTTAAAAAGTTTAATTACAAAAACTGAGCCCTTCCAAATACTGCAACCCTTCCTTTTGAAAATTAACAATTACAAAATGATATTATAATCAAAATATCTTATGAAAATCAAATATTTTCCAGCCATTTTTAACTTTTTATATTCAGACTAATTAAAGGTGTTTGACTACAAGTAAAATGTTATATTATTCAAACATAAATTTGATTAAATTCAAACAATAGAAATATGCTTTCATTGTTAATTCATAATTTACAATTCTGCAATGTCAAAGTTTTATTTTATACTTGGATAGATTATAGAGAAGAAAACTTGAAGCAACTGTAGTCATAATTTCAAATAATCTCCATTGATAGAGTAGCAAGTCCGATACACAATGAAGTTACATCACGCTTAACAGCTTTGTCTGAGATCAAGCATGAAAGCGATTTGCGCATTTCATGCTTATAAGACATAATTGAAAAATTATGATCAGACTTGTACACTTTTTGAGTCAGAAAAACGACAGTATCTTCCACATTTTTAATCAGATTAAGGGTCTTTAAGGGTGCCCTTGTAAGTTATGAATTGCCATCTTTGTATGGAGAGTCACTTAAAGCCTATTATTCAGTTATTTATGAAACAAAATTTGTTTATTATTAGATTTGGAAACCTGCTGCTTGAGACTGGTACTCTCCTCCTAGTAGGGAGACGAGTAAATAAAACCGTAAGCCTGCTCCCTCAAGTTGCAAAAAAACTTAAAAACTATTTTGATAAACTTCCCATGGAACCGATTGACAGGTTATTTTTCGATTCAGAATTTGGATTTGTGCATACTTTACCTTTGCAAAAATATTGTTTGCATGTTTTTTTTGCGAATAATTCTATTTCTGATCCAACACTTTTTCTCCATGCAATTTTCAACATGGTAGCGGAACTGAAGTATTAGTTTATTATTCCCTTTATCTTTCCAACCTGATGCCGAAGATCAGGTTTATGCCATACAGTCAAACTATGATTTCTGTTCAATCGAAAAGTCTAGGTTAGAAATATTACAAATTTACGCTATCAGGTTGCATAGATTTAGGGATTACAAAATGTGTTAAGTTCCTTTTTAACAAATGATTTTCCTACGTGACAAACTAGTTAACATGAACAAACTAGATCATGGAGAGACAATTTTCATCAAAAAAATGTAATTTAACTTTAAAACAATTGATGAAATTGAAGATTGTACATAATTAAAAATGCAAGCACAAAACTTTTAATGTACAGTAAGAGGCATTGTGTGTGCAGCCGGTGTCAGGAGTGTACATGTGAGTACTGCAATAAGTGGCACAAAATGCCGTCCTATCATTACCACGTTGACTCAAAACTCAGGAAACGGAACTAATTCATCTCTTGGATTTAGTGAGGCAAAATTTTAAAGAAAGAAATTGATTTAGAATCTAATTTTATCTTGTAAATTTAAATACATAAAAAAAATCAAAAATGTCTGTATTTTTTTCTGAAATTTTTCATATTAACTAGGTTTATTAAAAAATAGTTTGTTTTGCGCTGTAGATCTCGATATCTTCTCCTACAGTGGTTTGATTCTAACCTCGTGGTTCGAAATCTGGCAGAGATCTCAGCTATATATAGATCCTTACTCAGGATAGATCTTGTAAATCAGGTTATAGAAACCTAGCAGAGATCTCAGCTTTATATAGATCCATACTCAGGGTAGAGATCTTGTAAATCAGGTTTTAGAAACCTAGCAGAGATCTCAGCAATATAGATCCTTACTCAGGGTAGATCTTGTAAATCAGGTTATAGAAACCTAGCAGAGATCTCAGCTATATATAGATCCTTACTCAGAATAGATCTTGTAAATCAGTTTATAGAAACCTAGCAGAGATCTCTGCTTTATATAGATCCATACTCAGGGTAGATCTTGTAAATCAGGTTATAGAAACCTAGCAGAGATCTCAGCTATATATAGATCCTTACTCAGGATAGATCTTGTAAATCAGGTTATAGAAACCTAGCAGAGATCTCAGCTTTATATAAATCCTTACTCAGGGTAGATCTTGTAAATCAGTTTATAGAAACCTAGAAGAGATCTCAGCTTATAGATCCATACTCAGGGTAGAGATCTAGCAGAGATCTCAGTTTTATTTAGATCCTTACTTAGGGTATAACTGTTGTAATTCGGGTATTACTATCTTGGCCTTCATGGTCACTTGAAATGACGCTAACAGTCCCTTTAAGTAATGATTTTTAATAGTCAATAACATGAAGCACAATAATTGTGCAACATACGTACACGGACCCATTTCACTTAATAAGCCATTATGTTTTGTAAATATTAAGCCATTGGTAAAACTATTTGCTTATAAAACATGTTAATAACATCAAATACACTTATGATTGCTTAAATCCGAGTTTAGAGGGATACACCTGATTCACAATTTACAACAGTACTCTTAAAGTTGTTTTTCTCTCTTGTCAATTTTCTGCATTATCTCTGCAGCATAAATCCGCATATGTGACATGTAAAAGAACCACAGTTGAAAATGTAATAAGGATATCTCATTCATTCTTGACAAAGGTCCCGTTGTAAATTGGAAATACCTCTCTATTAATGAAAGTTAACATGAAATTATGTCTGCAGTTCTTTTAATAGTAAATGTATCCTAGGTTCAGATGTATTTACGAGATCTATCTGGTCATGTTCCTCATGTTTATGTCGGGGTTCATGTTCGTAGAACAGATTACATAAACTACATACAGACTAGATACAAGGCAAAACAATCATATATTCATGTTCCTCATGTTTATGTCCGGGTTTATGTTATTGTCCATCTGCAAAAAAAGGTTTTTTTTTGGATAAAAAGAAATTATTTATTTTTAAATTTCTTAAAAAATCAAAATGAGAATATTTTCATATTTAGTACTGATTTTAAGGAATTAACTTATTTTATTATGTTTAAAGTAACTCACTGCAACAACTTTGATAGTTTTCTTTTACTTCTTTACATCAATAGGACGTAAATTTGACTTTAGATTGTTAAGGGAAAATAAAAAATGAAAATGAACGAAAGGATGAAAAAATTAAAAATTAAACAAATAAACAAATGAACAAATGAAGTTAAATGAGGTAATCTGAACAAAGTGTGTTTAAGCTTTTTATCCCACTTCACGTCGTTTTCTTGTTCTAAAAATTGTTCCTATCAGGTAAAATGCCGACCAATGGCCGGGATGGCGTTAAAATCCCGTTTTAACCTTTAAAAGTAGATTTTATATTCGAATGTGTGCTCGGTCTCTTTTCCAAAGACTAGAAAAAAATTAAATTATAATTGTATTTCTACGTTTTATACCACAGAATAGAATAGAATAACTTGCACATTTTTAATAATAGAATTGAGGATTTAAGATAATAAAGAAAATAAATGATGTAAAAAGATGGTTGAATTTTTTAGAAAATCTTAGGAAAAAGAAAAAAGAATAAAACGGCATTTTAGAGAAAAATGTTTCAACGTAAGANGTTTTCGGAAAAGGGAACGAGCACATTTTCCCCATTTATTGACATTGTGCCTTCTAATAACTATTTCTATATAAAAAAGGACGTCCAATAGCTGCAAAAAAAGCTTCAACACACTTTTTAGAGACACACGGTATATCAATTGAAAATTTGTAAGTGAATATATGACTGAATAGGGTTCAAGCATGGATATTGAATATTTCTTCTATTACTGCATGAACAAGTTTAGAGCAAGGAAAGTCAGGACTATATTAAATAATACAGGGTTACCCACAAAAGATGAGAATTTAATAACGACTGCTCTCCTGTTCAATGAAAAGAATATATTCCAGTATTCACCTTGTCATGATTCTGCTGGGTTGATCGTAACCCTGATTACGTTCCATTCTATTCACTAGCTCAGAGTAAATACAAGAAATCTGTTTATGTATAGTTCAATATAAAAAATAGAAATACTATCTTATTTAAATGCAATAAACTAAAATATGTTTAAATAACATAGGAATAAAATGAACTATGTACAATCTTAGGATAGACCCCGTCCTTCTGTTTTATATATAGACTAAAACAAAGCAAATCAAATGAGTTTTCCAACCAGACCTCTTCAAGACCGATCTCTCCTCCGGCAGTGTTTTCAACACAGCCTGGTTCAGTTCCAGCGCTACTTTGCATACCTTCGGAGCCAATACATCAAAAATCCGGAGATGACATAACCTCATAGAGTCATTTAGATTCTTGTAGAACAGACGAAACCCCGTATCTCTGATCATTCTTACAAAGAAAAATCTCAGCATCTCCGGGTTTAGCCTGTCCCACTCTAGAATAAACCAGCTCTGTGATCTAACCATCTCAACACACCTCGCTCCTATATAAGAACTCCTGGCTGTACTAGAATCAATTTCAAGTCTAACAACCATCATTCCCGGAGGCCTGCCCATTCCTCTGACTCCAGAGACTGGATCCAACCAGGTCTGAGCTTCAATCTGACCTGGAGCCAATCCAAACCTGGTATACTCCAAGACTGCATCTGTAGGCATACGGATCACATTGTTGTCCATCCAGTGAATATTTTATCCAGATAATGATCTCATCTGTACAAGGAACCATTCCGTGCACTGGATCAGGACCTACAACCTCCATTTGTCACAGACTGCCATGCTCCAATCAGCTGAGTCCAGAGCTTGATATAGAACATAGAGTAGAACATAGCTTCTCATGACCATCTCTAAATCTCAAGGATCTCATCATCTCATCCCGGGTCCTTGCTCCTTCCTCCGCTGCTTGATGAAATTCTACACCTTTCAGGAGATTAATACCCAATCAAGGAACCAGTTGACAGCGGTCAGTTGGTCACATACCAGGTATCTATACAACATCTCAGGGTTCGGGAATGTATCTCTAAGGATCAATCCAGGCAGTACATTTGTATGCGGTGTACCCAAACTTGATATCTCCTAGAGCATAACAGGTTAGAGATGCTGGAATCTCCTTAAATCTCAGACCCCATAGATTATCTCCAGTCAATACAGTTTTGTTGAGGAGAGTTCTCATTGTCTGCCCTCACATCGCAGTCATATTCTTGGAATGGAACTTGTATCCTGCAACAATAGCGAGAGAGGTTGAATCTACAAACGATCTCTCTTGGTTCACCTCAGATCCAAATATCAAAGAGTAAAACTCCTGCACTCCCCGTACATCTCTCTGGACTCCAAGTCCAGTTTGAGTAAATCCAGAATCCCAGGCTGCACAGTCATCTTCTCAAGGATGTATTCATCTCTTCTGTTTCTCACCAGGTTCAAGGATATAATGCAAACCCATGAAATCCCATTACTGAACATTATCGTTCCAGGGATCTGTCTCAAACCATCCTTCCCATATTCATAGATCCTATCAGATTCCACCTGAGTCCAGAGAACAGCATTCTCAGACCGGATCTTCACTTTCCCCGCCATCCTCAACGTGTCGTAGTATGTAGCTTGCAAATCTTCTATGTCCATGGAGATAACTCTGGTTCCAGAAAATCCAGGGGCGTTTCATTAAATAGATAGAGACCAATTGGTCGCGAAACATCTTTAAATGTATCAAAAAGTTGGGAATATTTTGTGTTTTTATGTTATATTATGTTATATTACTTAGGCATGACAGAATTTGAAGGACAAATTTTTGTTCATGAAAAATGAAGCAGTTCAGTCACTTACATCCTTTATGGGTACCCTGCATTCCCTGCATATTTTATTTTATTTTAATCCAACTAATATAATTGAAATATTTGTTAGAATGGCTTATTGAAATAATTAAATAGTTTTTTTTTATTAAAAAAGCTTGAATCTTGGCTCCAGGTTCCAGAACGTTTTATTTCTGGTGACTAGTGACGACATCTCCTGGTGTAAATCTAAACTAAACATTTTAGGATTTTGTGCTTCTGACCCAGATGAACCACACTATTTATGATTACGGTAGTTTTGGATTCTGGTCAGCTGCACTAGCTGGTGGTCAAACATATCTAGCTGACAACTACAGTGCAGTGTAAGGCCTACAATTTGTAGAGTGGAATGTCCGATTAACAAGGGTACCCAGAAAAGAATTATTTGATCAATTATCAAGTATCCATGTTTCTTTACTTTAAACGGATTATTTCTAATTGTGAGTTCCCAGTAAATGGAACTTGTGCATGTTTATTGTAGAAATATTTTGAGGAAATGATTAGAGGTTTTAGAAAACATTATTATGAAGCATTATTTGATCCGTTGATTAAATATTTTATTTTATATATTTTGAGTGGCTAAATAAAAGCCATTCAAAATTTCAAGGTATTTTAGAAAAAAGAAATTGCCTCGATCATTTTTAATAGAACGCAAGGATTTTTTCTACCTCAGTAAAATAACCTAATTATTTTCTAAAGAAATCCTTATTAAAAAACTTTTTACTGTCAAAAATATGAATTTAAGCGTAATGCGCGCAGTTTTAAGTGACCTTCAGTGCAAAGATGCCATGGATTTACGGTGCTACCCTTGAATGCTTTGTATGTTCAAGTATGAATAAGATATTAATGTTTATAATATGAAAAACTGATCATTTTCAACTGTGGCTTCTTTACTAGTGTAACTTCGGCATAAAACATGCCGAATTATCCATTAGCAAAACTTTTCCAATTCGCAAAAAAAGATTATAATTTGCATATTACTGTTCAGAGAATGGTTTCATGGTGTTGTTGTGAATGAGGCATTGCCATCTATCTTTGACGGAATACGCTTACAGTCCTTTTAAAAGCAATTTACCTTTTCAAATTTACCTAAATATTTTGCTTAGTTTCATGAAAGAAAAAGTGTACATGGACACATGTTTAGAAAAGCACAGTTTTTGCCGCTTAACATTTCAAACCCTTCAAAGTTATCGCTCATCATTAATCATGTCTTAGGCTTTCTAATCTCATCGCTGAAATTTGTTCCTTAGACCAAAACTACTCAACTCTTTCTGTAAAAATCACATCAAATCAAATCTAACTTCAAGTACCGCCCTACTTCCATTTTTCAATTTCAAAATAACTTTACTAATTTAAAAGCGTATCCAGGCGTAATGACTTGTATTGATTAAACAAATTACCAAATCATTATGAATTTAGCGAATTCTTCTTTATACATGTTGTGGATTGAACCAACGAATAAAAAATATACAGTTTAATATACAGACATTAACCCTTACGTTGTTTCGCCCTTCAATTTATAAATTTTACAAATAAACCGTCCAATATTATAGAAGATTTTCATATCTCTGAAAATAGATTGAATTTCATCTCATTCAATTACAACTCCTGATTTGCAATATGTTTTTTGAGCTTCACAACAAAGAAACTGAGTCTTTGCCTCAAACTCTGATTTTCCAAACCCAATTTTGTAGATCTTATGAAATATCTAAGGTGAATTGAATAAACTATGAATTCTGTTAGATAAAATAATCTAAGTTTTAAATATCAAAGGTTTACAAAGATCAGGGGTTAGATAATTAGAGTTTGCAACAAAGAATCAATTTCTTTAATCAAAGTTTATTATTGTTAGTTAAGATCCTTCAGACTATCGTTTCTAAAAAAGAACTGATTACTTGATTACGAAAAAAACTCCCCAGGAACATGTTTGAGCTTGAGCTGTAAGATAAACTTAGTTGTGTTCTTTATCCAAAATGTACTAATTTGCTTTTTGATAAATTTTAAAATTTACCATACCTTCTTTGCTCTCATTGCTATAATTGTAAGTTTAACAACG